TTTAATATTTTGTATACTACCTTCTACTAGTAATTTAAATAAATTTCTCATAGTATTGAATCAAAAAAGTAATTTACTTTATTTATCCTTAATTCTATTTAAACTACTATAATAGCTACAGAGAGTATAAAAAGCAAGTTATTATTTTTAAGTATTATTGAAAAATATAAATACTTATTAAGCATTCTTTCTTTGAGTAAGTACTATAAGTTCTTAATTGTTTTAAAAGTATATAAATATAAGAGCTCTAGTAATACCGTAAAGTATATCTCCTCGAATTAATTTTTAATAATTTGAAAGTATAAATAGGTGTGTTATTTAATAAAAAGATAATATCAAGCTCTATCAACTTAGGATGCTCTTCTATAAACAATATTGTTATAAATTCTAATAGTTACACCTCTTCTCCTTATATTAGAGCTCTTAAAGTAGAGTACAAAATTACTTCCCATACTATAGTAAATAATAGCTTGAATTATTTCTTTCTAAAGTGAGTAATATACTAAGCTGAAATAAATATAATTATTTACTAACAAATCTTTAAATAACCAAATTTAATTAACTTATAATTAAAAATTTATAGATAGAAGGAAATGTTATTATTTAATATTTGGGTCCGCTTTTTACTAACTTTAATTTAAATTCTTTTATCCTACTTAATACATCCAACAACTTTACGGCCTATCTTTACTCTACAAATATTCTTTTCTCTTTTAAGAGATAGAATCTCAATCCTTATTCTCTACTTATAATAGAAACATTCCTACAATAATATTTCAAATCTAAATATTATTATAATTCAAGAGAACTGCTAGTAAATAAGTGTAATTACTTATATAGTAGCTAGAAGCTCTAGACAAAAAGTATAGGTTATTATCTTTATATATTTAGTATTCGTAATTAAGAACTTACTTAGTATATATAAAGAATATAGCTAAAGTGAAACTACGTAGCTTTCAATTATAATAATCTTTAATAAATATACTAACGTTAGAAGTTTCTACAATAATACTGCCGTTCGTATTTATAATATAATTTTTAAATAAGTTTAAGATTGAAACCAAAGATTACGAATATTAATTATTAAACTTTGGAGTACTAGTATATAATGTTGGAAGGTAAAAGCTACTAATCTTAATAGAATAACCTTGTTAGTAATATAAATATTAATAATCATTGTTCCAAAATTTAAAAGTCCGTTCGTAACTAATAATGTAATACTGTATTTCGGCGATATATATATAGTTATTATGTAAGTAGTCTAGTGAAAGAATTTATTATATAATATTTTATTAATAGTATAATAAAATTATATGAATTTAATAGAGCTCTTCTTATTATAGTTGCCAGCTTTCTATAACTTATTATTGAAAATAGTAAGAAATGTTATAAATAACTCCCCATTCTACTAATACAAATAAAAGAATTTACTTAAAGTAAAATGTAAATTTTCAATGAAAGTTAAATTTAATATATATTCAATTAAATAGAGATATATTGTTTTCCGTACTACAAATAGTCTTACTAGTTCAAAATTTCTTTAATTAAATTTACTTATTATTAGAAATCGTATTAAGAATTTTGTATTATATATTACTATTATTAGTATAAGACTCTACTTTAATATTAGTATTATATACTTTTATAAATATATTATAATACAAGAGGAAAGTATAGAGCTACTTATCCTACTTTAAGAATTCTGAACGCTTTCTTTTATAAAGAGTAGTACTATAACTATTATTTTAATTATAAAAGTATTTAAAACAGTAGTATTAAAGCCAGCTACTCAATTCTTAGGGGTATTTGTTAAGTAAAAGTCTAAAAGCGGAGTAAAGATAGAGTTAAAGTGAAATTTAAGAAAAAGAAAATTGATATAATTAATATTTTAAAATTTATAAAACTCCTTTATGTTACTAAGGTTTATATTTTTCAATTTAAGTATAGTAACTAATAGATACTATAATACTACGCTATATATTATTAACTATTTTCAATTCCACTCTACTATTCTTTTATTAAAGTATATTATAATAATTAAAATAAATAGAAATAGCATCTAATATGAGAAGTATAGTACAATTAGTATAAATGTTAGCCTTGATTAATCAATAAAGTACTATAAACAAGAAAAGAAAGGAAAGAAGCACTCTCTAGGCGAGTATAGCTAGTTATTCTTTTTAAAAAACGTGCGCGCGTATAGGCTACAAGCGTGCTACTATAGCAAGAGGCCTAATTAGTCGCGTCTTATTATATACCAGCTGGGCTCAGACTAGGAAGACTACTAGTTACTATAGCTACAAGTAGTAAGCCATATTATAGCAGCCTAGTTTTAATTCTTCTATCTACTTAAACTCTAAAGCCTACCCTACTATCTCGTTCTTATAGTAGTAAGCTTAAGCTGAGTTTACGTTTTTTTATAACTTTGGATTGAAGAATAACAATTAAAGTATTTTATGTAATATAAATTTAATAAAAATAATAAAAATAAGAAGATCCCGGTATATAGAGGACTTTTTATTTCAATTCTAACACTAGTCTTACTTTCTCTATATAGCTAATGTTCGTTTAAATATAAAGCTTTATATCTTTAAACTTTTACTCTCTTAAGGTTGTATTACTTTAATAAGTAGTTTGTATCCCCTCAAAATAATAATATTAAAACTGCTTTACGAAGACTATTCTATATATATAATTATCTTATTTATTACATTATTAATATAGTTCAAAATAACGTTAATTCAAAAGTAGAAAATAAAATACTACCCCCTTAAAGTTTCATTACTTCGATATATAGCACGTATATTAAAAACTTTTATTATTAGAATTATATTATTTAAACAATTTGAATAATATTATCTATTATTATAAAGTTAATCTTTATTATAGAATAAAAAAGTATTTATAAGTTTTAAGGTAAATATAGTTAATAAAGGTTTACTTTTAAGGTTAAATTACTTTTATAGGTTTTTTGAATATTGTAAAAATTAAATTATTAGAAAGAACTTTAAAAAGCTATTTGCTAGATGCTTTCTCTTAATCTTTACCACTTTTATTAAACTTATAATAAAGAAATATATAAAAATTAAATTTTCAACTTATATAAGATTTATTATAACTAATATTATTTTTAAAAAGTTTAAGAAGGTCTATTACACTTTTATACAAAAACGCTATTGGCCATAGTAAATCTTATATATATTAAAGATGCTATTTTTCCATATCTAATAATAATAAAATTAATAAAAATATTAACAATAATAATATTTCTACATTAAGTAGTATCTTTCCAAGCTATTTCAAGACATATAATTTATATATTATTTAAACTACCTATAAATATAATACAACCTTAAAGATAAAGCTTTGTAAGCTATAGGAGCTCTAAAATCTTTAAATACTCCTTTTTCAAACTTTAAAAATAATTATATAGTAAAAAGAAAAGTACTTTAAGGATAGCCCCAACGAGACAATACTAACAATACTATTTCATCATTTATGGACTATTTATCAAAGTAATTCATTCTTAAAAGGATAGTATTTTAAATCTTTCTCATTTAGATTTCTTTTACTTTCAACTATAATATTAATATAATAAATAAAATACCTATATATAGAAAATGGCGTTGAAAAGGCGGTTTAATAGTACAATTATTATATAAAGGCGTGCTTTACAACTAATAATAATAGAGAAATAATAAAGTTATTAACTAGTTGCTAAATAGAGCAATAGTGTGTAATAGTTAATAATAAACTTAGTAAAGAAAGCTAAAGATAAGTATTATCACGAGCCTTAACCTAGGACCTTATACATAACTTTACTAAATATAAGTAATATAAACATTAGGTTAGTATAATATTAATTAGTATTTTAATAAACAGTAGAATAAGTTAATAGAACAAGCACTCTTATATAACAAGCTATGCGCTCTGCTAAGCAGCTACTATAATAAGGTAGAGTATCCAAATAGCTACTAGAAATACGCTTTGCTAATTATTTTTATAATATATAGACTACCCGTTAAGGGAATACAGGCTTAAGAGGGTGGAAGCTTTGAAGTTCCAAGCCTTATATATTAACAAATATTTGTTATATATAAAAACCCAGACTATTAATAAAATTGAAATAAAAGACTTTATATAAGAGGTATTAGTTTTTAAGTATATTGAAAATGCTCTATTTATAATTTATAGTAATGCTTGGTTATTCTTCTGCAGCCTACGGCCAAGAATCACAAAATCAGCTCAGACCTACTGCCGCAAAAATCGGGAGGTGGGGTCGGGGGGTGGGGGGGGGAGGTGGGCTTTGGAGGTTGTGGGTCCGTGAACTGAGACTAGTTCGGGCCCGGCTGGTGCCCGGCTCGGGGTGACCATGTGTCCACTGCTACTGCAATAAAGATCTTTAATTGGACAGAGCCGGATATCCCCCATGATTGAGCCGGATCGAAACAACACCTTATCAACCATACCACCAAAATCAACGGTCTAAGTCAACGGTTGCTGGCGAGGTCACCTACGTACACCCTCCAGGTCTTGCAACGACTCCATTTTGGCTTGACACCGCTTTTTTTCAATATCATTTAAATATGGTGTCGACACCGCAAGCCGCGCATGTGGCGGCCCAGCAGCAGAGCCAAGGTGCCCTGGTTTGGATCGACTGTGAGGTGCTTAGTGCCAGCCCCTTGTTGATCGCATTTCTCATCACCAATGTCTCACCTCGCTCACACGCAGTGTTTAAGTAGATGACCGGCCTTGACCCGGACCAAGATGCTATCATTGAGATCTATTGCTTCATTACCGACGAGCAACTCAACCTCTTAGATCGTACCGGCTGGGGCACCGTCATTCACCAGACGAAGGCGCGCATGGATGCCATGGATGAATGGTGTACACAAGTCCACGGCAATAGTGGTCTCATGGCCGCCGTCTTGGCCTCTACCGTCACGCCGGAACAGGCAGCAGACGGGCTGCTGGCATATATACAGAAGTATGTCCCAAATAAGCGCGTGGCCCTCTTAGCCGGAAACAGCGTACATGCCGACCGCGCCTTTCTCCGCAAGGAGCCCTATGACAGGGTCGTCGATCATTTGCACTACCGCATCTTGGACGTAAGTAGTCTAAAAGAAGCTGCTCGTCGTTGGTGCCCTCATATCGCCTCGGGAGCCCCTACCAAGCAGGGACATCATACGGCGAAGGAGGACATTCTGGAGAGCATCGCAGAGGCTAGGTACTATCGATCTGCTATTTTTCAGAAGGACTAGATCGTATCTTCATGCTAGGGCAGGAGCGACATGGCCACCATACGTACGATATGGATTCGATCGGTTGGAAGATGAATTACATTATTTTGCCTGCACTGTCAAAATCTCGGAGAACTAGCCACCCCAGCCCTAGTTGGTTCCATAGGCCTACATGAACGCCAAACTCATGTCTTCACGTCCGGCTCGTCACGACCAACGAATTCCTTGAACTTCAAGAGCTCGGTTGCCATCTTGATTTCAGGCGCCAGGAAGTCCTGGGCATCCATATCATATGTGGCGGGATCCGTGCTGTGCTGCTCAATGTACAAGCGGATGGTGGCGCCGGAAGAACCGGTGCCGGACAGGCGAACAACGATCCTGCTGCCCGAGGAAAAGCGGGCATACAGACCTTGGTTGGAAGAGACTGAGCCGTCCAAATCGGTGTACGAAAAGTCCCCAGCTTCCGTGACAGTACGATCTAGACAAAAATGGATCTCCGGTTAGCATCTGTAAGACCGCTTGGTAAGGGCAATCGTCACAAGACTCACCTCCAACCTTGCTTCCTACAAAGTTTGGATCCGCCACCAAATCCCTGAGGATACCAACAACTTTGTTGGCACCTTCTGAGTCCACATCCTCGTAATCGTAGCGGGTGAAGAAGGTTCGTCCGTACTCAGCCCAGAAATCCTTTTGGATCTGTTTGATGCTGGGCGCTACTCCGGGGTTGGCGACACCCAATCCCGCAATGATATTCAACCAAGCCACAATGGCCCAGAGACCATCCTTCTCTCTGATGTGGTTGCTGCCTGTTCCAAACGACTCTTCGCCGCAGATAGAGAGCTTATTGGCGTCGAACAAGGCGCAGAAAAACTTCCAGCCAGTGGGAACCTCATAGCAGTTCAGGCCTTGCTTCTTGGCAACCAAATCCACTGCTCCCGAAGTAGGCATACTGCGTGCCAGGCCGTACACACCATTCTTCTTAAAGTAGGGAATAAGCTGGGCATGGTGAGCGATAATAGCCAAACTGTCACCGGGCGACACAAAAGCGCCAGCACCGTAGATCATGTTGCGATCTCCGTCACCGTCAGAGGCTGCGCCAAACGGAATGTTGTTTTTCTCCACAGTCTCAACCAAGCTGTGTGCGTAAGTAAGGTTGGGGTCAGGGTGGCCACCGTTGAAGTCAGGGGAAGGCTCGCAGTTCTGTGTCGACTCGGAGCCAAGACCGAGCTCCTGCTGGAAGATGGCCTTGCCGTACGGTCCGGTCACGCCCGAAAGACCGTCGAACAAGACCTTGAAATCAGGATGAGTGGCAAAAAACTTCTTGATCAGGTCGAAGTCGAAGATATCCTTGAGCATCTCGACATAGTCCGCGGTGCTATCGACCACCTCGACCTCGAGGTCACCGTACGTCTTGGTACCAATGGTTGAAATGTCAATGTTGGGAATGCTCGCAATCTTGTACGAGGTCAGGGTCTTGGAGACTTCGTAGATCTTGTTGGTGACCGACTCGGGCGCCGGGCCACCGTTGGCGAGGTTGTACTTGATGCCAAAGTCGTTCTTGGGACCTAAGCCAGTGTTAACACCGGGTGAGCCATGACAGCTAGGGGGGCTGCTGTTCCTCACCTCCGGGGTTGTGGCTAGCGGTCAGAAGGATGCCACCTGTCGCCTTGCGCTTGCGGATGACATGGCTGGCGGCAGGGGTCGACAAGATGCCATCCTGGCCGATCAGGAGCTTCTTGACGCCATACGCGGCACCAATCTTGGCAATCAGCTGAATCACCTCAGGGTTCCAAAATCGGCCATCCCCGCCGATGACGAGGAAGGCACCTATTATTGATTGTATCAACCGGTCAGCTCCCAAAGCCCACTGCAATTAAGCTTGCTGTATCAAGATTTTGGTATAGGCTTGTGTATTCTCCTACCTTCGGCACCTTCAGGGATGGAGAGCAAGATGCTCGTGATGAAGGCCTCGCTATAGTGTGGCTGTTGGAATACGGTCACTTTTTTACGAAGTCCGGAGCTGTGAAGGCGGTCCCAAAACGGCTATTGTTAGTCTTGCTGTTCGATATACGTTCAAAGCCGGCCAAAGCTCAATCGGTGCTTGTAGATATAGCTTTGACATGCCAGAAAGGAGGAGGGTGTCTGGAGAATTAGGAGGACGAGCGAAGGTGGTGACGTACGTGCCCGGCTTCTGGTCGGTGAATGGCTTGAACTCGACAGTCTGGACCTCCATGGTTGCGCGCTTGTGTGAGTAAGGTAGGTGTTAGAGGATGGTTGGCTGGATAACTGAAAAGAATGAAGAATCAGAAGTAGGATAAGTAACGGCGAGAGCTTTACAAGTTGACCGTAGGAGAATAGAAAGATGATTGAAACCCAATCTCTCCTGAGCGGCGTGGGTAGCTCAATTAAAGAGGCCCGAGAGGGGAGGGTCCGCTGTCAAAGGTCGGTGGTACTCCAGGTAATTGGTAGGCTAGCAAGGTGGGCACAGGTGGGGCAGCGTTGGCAAAGGGGGTGTGGGGAAGAGAGGAGGGGAAGGTAAGGTAGGAGCTGGAAGAGGAAAGAAGGATAGCACAAGTCAAGCCGGATAGATCGACCGAGGGCCTGGATAAACCAGCGGTGTAGGAGCTGTCTAAGTGATAAAGCGTTATTTTTCAGCAATTGAACTACTTGGTAATAATCTCTTCATCAAGGTAGTACTTACCGAAAATATAGAGTGTTATATAGAATAATAATCTGAAAGTAATTATTGTAACCTAATTATAAAATAATATTAGTATGGATTTTTAGTTAAATTAATAAATAATAACAGTTTTACTCCCTAGCTATAATTTAATATAATATTATAGTGATGTAAGCTTTTGTTTTAAATATTGAGTAAATAAAACCTATAAAGAATAAAAATTATTTAACTTAAAGCTTCCACTTTATAGGTAGAAACTATATTCTACTACTTAATTCTAAATCCTAGTTTAATTTATATTACAGTAATAGTCAAAAAATACTGTCCCCCTCACCTCTATACATTTGTATTACCAGCTCCTCTATGCAACTTCTCCAATTTTAACCCTTTATAACTCTGCTAATTTCTAGCCAAAATAAAAGATTCTTATAATTAGGAAATTGTATAGTTCAAAATGATACTAGGAAGATAGCACCTAAGGGAAAAATACGGCTACAATTGCACTTGAGATCAGAGTATCCTAAAAAGCTTAAATTCAGCAAAATACTAAAACTACAACTCAAGATGCAAATGATGTTCAAAACCACCAAACCTTTATAAAATCTTCTAAAAAGAAGTATAAAGGGAGATTATATAGGTTTGAATAAGCTGACGTTTTTAAATTCTATATAAAACTTTTCAAAAGATTTTTATAGCTATTTAAATTTAGGCTACAACATTACTAAATGTAGATTTTTCTTAGCAAAAATATCAAATGCATAATGCATTCATAACCACCTTAAACCTCAGTACTATTGAATATATATAACGAACGGCAGTCTAATCTGCCTAAGTAAGATAGCTGAAGGTATAAAGACTATCAGTGCTGTTCGGTAAAGCTAAAAGGTTTACAATAAGTATGCGTGCGTGATACTAGTCTCGGTGATAAGAATTAATTTGTGTTGACTACTGTTGAATTATCTGATAATCTAAGTTTTCTAATCGCCTTTTTATATTATATATTCCCGAACGCCTTTCGTAGTATAGTAAGCTTAGCTCACCTCTATAATTGAGGGTTACTTTTATGATTATAAGCCCGGCTTATTATTATAAGCCTGGCTTACTTATATTAATTGTAAGCCTTCCTTATATTATAAGCCTATCCTAGCCTATAATTGTACAATTTAACCCTTTTTAATAGCTTATACTCCTAAGGGTTTAATTAGCCTATAAATTTACTTAAATTCGTAATATAATACCTCCCCTCCTTAACTATTATTTTTAACAATTTATTAAGTTATTTTAATCCTCTATTTATTTTTATCCGTTAGTACTATCTTTCTAATTAGATATAGTAAGTCTCTTTATTATTATTCTTTACTATATCGTCTTTTTGTATTTAGAAGCGTTTATTTAAATTAATATTGAAACGTCGGACTTTATTATTTAATATTAAGAAGTTTAGAACCTTTATAATACCTTACTCGTATTATACCGAATGTAATCTTCTTTATAGGAAGCTTTCCGATAATACGAAGTATAGTAAATATATTTATTATACGCATCTTTACGAAGATTTTAATACCAATATTAAATATAGGTTCTTCCTTAGTATTTTTATTAGCTTTTAGCTAATTTACTATAGTAGTTCGTATTTTTATAGTATTTAACTGCGTATAGTAAATAAAAGTTATATTATTATAGGGTATTAAAGAGCGTTTATTTACTATACGCAATACTTAATAGAAGGATTTAAAAATATAGGTTATTTAATTATTGGATTTAGAATAATAGTAATAAGATTTGGCTTCTTAGGGCCGTAAGCTATCTCTCTATAGTATAATTAAATTAGAGGCTTTAAAGGTAGAGGAGCGGGCAATTGGTTTAGAATTAGAATTATTATTTATAGAGTAGCTAATAGGGGAATTTACCTCCTTCCTACCTATCAATTAAACGGTTTTAAATATTCCGGTTTATTTAGCTTCTTAGTTAAATAATCCTTTAATTTTAACTAATCCGGGTTCCTCCAATAGAATTCCTCTAACTTCTTAAAATAATTCAAATTCTTAACGGGCTCTTATATATTATCCTTAGGACCAAATCCTTCCTATTTAATAAAGTATTCCAATTCTCCTTTTTCTACTCTTAAATTTAAGATTTATTCTATATTTTATTCTTTTTCCTTATCCTCAATATTAATACGTATATTGACTCGTATGTTTTTAAATGCTAGTATAAGTAGTATAATATAGAATAAGTATAATTTTAATTTTATAGTATTAGGAATATCTAATTAATATATTATATTAAAAATCTTTTTCTTAATTCTAAATAGTCCTACTTATTGGTCGTTAAATTTCTTATTAGGTCTCTATATCCTAAAGTTCCTAATTAATAAAAGAACTTTATCTCCTTCCTTAAAGTAAGGTCTTTCGAACCTTTTCAAATTAAAATACCGGCTTATCTTTTATCGAACGAATTCCAATTCTTCCTTAAATTTTTTATATAATATATATAATTTTCCGGCCTTAACTAAAGCCCTAGGAATATTCGTATTTAATCCTTCTAAAAGTTCTAATTCGTACCTATAATTTATAAAGAAAAGTAAAACCTTAATAGTTTTTATAGGGGAGGTATTATATATTAATTGTACTATAGGTAATAGTTCTATTTAATTGCTTTATTCGAAATTAATATAGTTCTTTAAGTATTATTCTACAATTTAGTTAATACTTTCCGTCTATCCGTCGGTCTATAGGTAATATATAGTAAATATTTTACTTTTAGTATTAAATTTAATTATTAATATTTATTGGAACTTAGATATAAATTTAGTATCCCTATTTATAATTTACTCCTTCGGCTAATTATATACCGAAGTAATATTCTAATAAATTATATCTATAAATTATTCTACTAATTATATTTCTTTATAGGGTAGGAAGTAATTCTATTTAATTAGTTTATTTACTACTATTAATATACTATTATATATAACTCCCGTAGTAGTATGTATAAATAGTAGTAATTTAGTAATAAAGTTTATAATTATTAAATTCTATAGCCTTTCTATAATTTCTAAGGGTTCGAAGAATCCGTATAGTTTATATTTTGTAATTTTAATCCTACTATAATATTTATAGGCCTATAATATTCGAACTACTTCGGCTTTTAATCTTAGAAAGTTGTAATATTACTATACTCTTACTATAGTTTTAGCGATACCTATATATCCTCCTATTTTAAATTTATAAATTCCTATAATAAGAATTTCTTATTACTTTAACTAAATATAGGCCTTATTATAATACTATAACTTATTATTCCAAAAGGCAATTCCTTCTTTTAAATTATCCTTCTATCTCCGTCGCTCTTCTAGGGTTGCAATAATAGTTTAATAATTAGGGTCCTATAATTTAATTTAATAAATAGTATAATATTCTACTTATTCCTATAGGAAGTATACAAATATTCTATTTAATTATTCTTAAAATAATAATATAAAAGCTTCTACTATATTTTTTATATAATTTGCTTAACGGTTTAAGGCGTCTATTCAGGCGTTCTTTAAACCTTTCTTATAATTAATTTTAAAATTAAATTCTAATAAGAATTCGGCCCAATATATTTAACGGCTATTAAATACCTTCGTAATTATAAAGTACTAAAGATTATTATAATTAATATAAATTTATATTTTATATATAATGCTATTAAAGTATAGCCTCTATTTTTAAAACGTTTTAATAATAACTAAGAGTTCCTTATTATAAATAGGATAATTATAATAGGGTCCTTCCAATTTCTTAAAGAAGAAAGTTATAAAGTATAATTTCCTATATTCATTATATTATCCTAACTATTCTCTAATAATATAGTCTAATATATTAATTTTAATTTTAAAAAGTTTACTTAGGTTAGGAAGTTTCAATATAGGGTCCACGGTAATTGCGTTACAAATATTCCTAAAAACTTCTTCTTCCTCCTTTTCCTATATAAAAATAGCTTCCTTCCTAGTAAATTTATATAATAATCTAATAATTTTCCTATAATTTTATATAAATATATAATAAAAATTAATAAATTTTAGGAATCTATAAATTTTAATCGTATTTCTAAGTATAGGCTAGTTCTATACGGCTTTTACTTTACTTAATTCTATCCTAACCTTGATTTTTGAAATTAAATATCCAAAAAATACGGTCTCCTTTATATAGAATTCGTTTTTCTCTATATTAATAAAGAGTTTATATTTATATAGTACGTCCAATATTTTCCTTATATATTCCTTATACTTTATAAGAGTTTTAAAGTAAATAAGGATATTATTTAGATAGTAGATAGCGAATTTATTAAAGTAGAGTCGAATTGTATAATTAATAATAGATTAAAAATATTATAAATATATTAATTAACCCGAAGGGTACTATAAAATATTTATAGTATTTGTAGGGTATATGAAATATTATTTTCTATTCGTTTCCTTTTTTAATTCGGATATAGGTATAAATAATAAGTAAATTAAAGTGTATAAAGTATTATATTCCTACTAATTAACTTCGGATATATAAAATTAGGGGTAAGGGATAATTATTTTTTATAATCTCTTAATTTAATTACTTATAATAAATATAAAAATATAATTTTCTATTCTTCTTCGGTATAAAGAGGATAGGGTACCCTACTAGTAATATAA